TTCCCTGGGAATTCCTATATCAGGTTCCTAAATCCTCTTTTTTCCCTGCTATTGAAGTGGCAAAAAAGGCAGATTTTTTTCCTGTAGATTAAGTAACTTTTTTTGAAATGTAACTGATTTTATTTCATTCCAGAGCTCTCTTTCTCCTCAGCAAGGGGATGGTGAGTTGAATGTTCTTTATAAATGAATTATTTCCTATTTCATGCTAATTCTAGAGGATATTTTTAGGATTAGTTGGMGTTCTTGTGGGTGGGTTTGGTTTCTTTTCCTCCTCGTTTTTTCTGGGAGGAGAAAAGGATCCCTGCAGATTGTCCCGGGAGGTTTTGTGATCAGGGATGGAAGAGSTGGTGGGGTGGGAGTGCTGTGGGAATTGGGAATGTTCTGATTCCTGCAATTGGAGAATCCTGGAATGCTTTGGACTGGGAGAACCAGGAGCACCTTCCCCAATCCCAGGGTGTTCCAGCCCAGCTCTGGACATCCTCCCTGGGCAGCCGTGATTCCCGAGCCTTTATCCCAAAATGACATTTCCCTGGGATTGCAGCTGCTGCTGATGGAGAGGAAGCTGCAGGAGGTTCACCCGCTGCTGACGCTGTGCGGGCAGATCGTGGAGAACTGGCAGGGCAACCCCATCCAGAAGGAATCCCTCAGGGTCTTCTTCCTGGTGCTGCAGGTCACACATTACCTGGATGCTGGCCAGGTACGGGGCACATCCCCCCGGGAATCTGGGAAAAAATCASCCCTGAGGGCATTTGGGTCTTCTTTTTATTGTGAAATCCTTGTTGATTTTAATCCCCAATGMAATGAAGAGTTTGGAGATTCCGTTCGTTTGGGAACGTTTTCTGTGGTGTTTTTGCGTCTGTGGTGCTTCCATGGTGTGGTGGTGGAGATAACAGAGATTTTTTGGGAATTTTGGAAATATTTTGAGCATCTCTGGGTGTTTTTTACCGACACAAAGCGCTGTACTCAATCTTAAATCAACCCTAAGCTCAGAACCAACCCCCTGAATATGGGAATGATGAACCCTTTGGGAAGTGTCCCTATCCCATAACCCGGGAAGCAGCAGGAGTGTGAGCAGTTCCCTCGGGAATGGCGTTTCCCCAGGTGAAGAGCGTGAAGCCGTGCCTGAAGCAGCTGCAGCAGTGCATCCAGACCATCTCCACCCTGCACGACGACGAGATCCTGCCCAGCAACCCCGCTGACCTGTTCCACTGGCTGCCCAAGGAGCACATGTGTGTGCTGGTCTACCTGGTGAGAGCTCCCTGCC